GAGTCAGTTTGATGTTTGCTTTAGTACAATTATCCTGGCTGCTGTGTAGAAGCTATAGGCAGAGGCATGCGCTATTCAGTAGGAATAGGGTGGCAAGTTTCTAGCTGTGGGCATGATGCGAAATGGTGAGATTCTGTATTTACCTGTATTTTTACATAAGGGAAGATTTCCTCACCAATTCAATATGTGGTGTGATAAAAAGAAAGAAGCTGAAGATGACCCCCATGTCTTGGTCTGAGCACTGGATCCAGGTGTTGCCACTGACAGTGATGAGGGAGGCCAGGGCAGAACAGGTTTGGAGGGGAAGATGAGTTCAGTTCGATACCTGTTAGAGTAAAATGATTGTTTGGTATTGAATGTATGCATAACTTTCTAAAAGCATTATAGCAGTGTTCGTTGTAGTTCTTAGTTGTTGTTATTTTTCTGGCTTTCTTGCTTTTTCGGTGGCATTATCAGTTTCTTCATTTTCCTGGTTGTTCTTTATTGTTTCAGAGGTTCACTATGCAAACACGTAAAGAGGATTGAAGGTCCAGGAGGATTTCCTTTTGTCCTGGGCAGATTTCTGTTTGCTTATGCAGGTGGCTAGGGTCATCAATAATTACACCGCCCTTATTCGATCAGGGATTGAAATTAGAAGTCACACTTTAATTCCCACAAGGGTATTTCACTCTTATTTTGGGGGTGCAGACCACCAGGATCTTAATTGAAACTTGGGTGATTTACCAATGCTCTCTGATGAGCTTGTACCCAATTTTAACTTTTTATTCTTGGAAATTTTCCAAAAACGCTCATCACCTTCTTGACCTCTTAGTCACTTCTTGCAAAGTTGGCAGGACCTCCTACAGGAAAGCAGAGTTCAATACCAGACTCACACCTAGGAGTTTCATTTCCTTTATTTTAGAATTTGGCCTTGTAACTAACTGCCTCGTTAGCATTCCAATGGGATACTACACACACACACACACCACTTTATTAATTCACCTCAGTATACAGGTTGAACCAAATAAATATTTCCACTACTGGTACATTATGATTTTAAAATAATGTTAAATTCATATTTTATACCTAATATTAATAAAATAGCTAACAAGTGCATACTGAGGCATTTCTTTTTCAAAGTATTATTGTCAGTTCTATTCTAATTTGTGGGATATAACAGGAAATGAGTAGATAAAATACCTACTCTTCTGAAACTTACATTCTACAGAAAACAGAAAAGACCAGCACAACTGTCAGATAGCACCAGGGCTATGGTTGATTTTAAGAAAGTTCCTATAATATAGAGCACATAGTGACTACTTTATTTGGAATAGTCAGGGAAGGACTCCACGTAAAGAATACATTTAAGCTAAGGAATGAAAGACAAGGAGAAACAAACCATTTAACAATCTCATTTAAAATTCTGAGTAAAATTAGATATGCTTGAGAAATAAGAAAAGACAAGTGATTCCATACTGTGTTAACCACAGGAGAGAATTGTGGAAGAGTTTAGATGGCCAACTAAAGGCAAATTCATATAGGGCCTTGGGGGTCAGGGGCAGAAAGTAAGAAGTAAAATGTGCCTGCCATGGTTTATTTAAGGCACCCAACTCCTAGATAAATGATGAAGAGAACAAGAAACATAAACTCTTGCCTATTGGAAACATTAAAATACAATGGGATAGTTTAATATACATACATATATGTGTGTGTGTGTGTGTGTGTGTGTATCTTTCAGCTCAAATCTCACTTTCCATTTCCTCTCTTAGTGACTTCTAAACTGAACCGTTATCAAGCTAACCCAGTGGGCTGATGTTGCACTTATGTTTTTGCTCTTGGAACCAAAATAAAATAAGAGGAAATTAAAAGGCGCACACCTAAAAGTAGCCTATCATCATTATACAATACCAGTGTAGTAACAGAGTTAAGCAAGATCATCCCTGCATGCTAAGTAAAAGTGATGCAAAGAGAAAAACAACAACAAGACTTTCACATTGCAGATTTCTGGTAGCCATTCTCCCTTGGTGATCCATGATACAGCAAGGACTGATTTTTCCAGACCCAGCTAATACTATCATACACATGTTGTCAATGATAGCTCCATGGTCACTTAGAATGCTCATGCGTGTGTGTGTGTGTGTGTGTGTGTGTGTGTGTGTGATCACTTCTTCCCAAGCAGTAGCATATCTACATCTCTCAAGAAATACTAAATAATTTTGAAGACAGAAAAACAAAACAGAACACCTCAATGTCACAAAGGCAAGGGGTGATTAAGGGAAAGCTATTAATATTAAATATAGGGTTGCAATATTACAAGGCAGGTGAAATGACTAGGGCTTCCCTGCACATCTAACAAGACGGATAGTCCCCCAATCCAGCTATAGAATCCAGACCTGATGTGGGCCTCGGTGAGGTTTGGTGCCATCTAGTGGCAGTTTTCTGTATGGCTAAATAGTAGTATCAGTGGAGATGATTCTGGGTCTGGATCCTTGAATTGAGGACTCTTGCTACCTCATGCTTAGTGCAGCCTAGAATGCTGGAGGGCTTTCCTAAACTTACTTCCACATCCCCCCACAGCCTTAAGAAGACCCTGTGTGGGTGTGACACAGAAGTACCTTCATACTCCTGCTGCCACCCCAGCAGTTGCCTGGTATTTGGTGTAAACCTCCTGTGGAGACAGGGTGTTTCCTTGATTCTCTTGCTCTAGGCTTAGTCTCAGGTAAAGCCTGTGCACTTCAGCTACCGAGGTGGGATTTTCTCAGCTTCCCTTCCTCCTCCCTCTGCCTTGTAAGGAGGGAGTCTTGGGCCAGAGTGAGTCTCCTGCCCCTCCCCAGCACAGTTTGCATCTCTACCAAAGTTTCATCTCTATAAATCCCTGTAAACAGGGCATTTTTATAGTCTCAATACCTAGTAGTATTTATTTATTTATTGTATTGTTGTAACAACTTGTTCACATGCCTAGATTACAAAGACTTCTGAGTCTTTATTTGTTTGTTTACTTGTTTGTTTAATCCTCACCCTAGGACATGTTGTTTTTAATTGATTTTAGAAAGAGGAAGGGAGAGAGAGAGAGAGAGTGATAGAGAGAGAGAGAGAGATCAATTGGTTGCTTCTCGTATGCATCCAGACCTGGATCAAATCAGTAACCTGGGAATGTGCCCACATTTGGAATCAAACCCACCACCTTTCCAGGTACAGGACAACACTCCAACCAACTGTGCCACACCAGCCAGGGCAGTAAATGAGTCTTATATGTCATTATAATATTACAATGACTACAGCCTACGGAATGTTTGCTATGAAACAAACCTTGTTATAAGGTCTGCATATTATAGTCTCATTTAATATCATCACCAAGCCTATAAAGTAGGCATCATCATTCAAATCTTTTAATTTAGTAAGAAAACACATACTGGCCAGGCATAGGGCCTCACCTTCAGTAGAGTCCAGCTCTTGGTTTAAAGCTTTATTTTTGCCACCTTGAAACTCTTAATTTATGTTGGAACCTCATGTGAAGTCTAGGAGACAATGGAACAAGCCTGTGACCTGAGGAGATAGGCCTGGGGGTGTATGTACAAGTTCCAGCTCCAACCCATAGGCCCAGTGGGCCCAGGGGCACTGAGCAATTAGCCTGATGGTCCAGCACAAAGGTCTCAGCCTTAGGGCAGTTTGGGGCACTTTGGGTCCTCAAAGTGGTCAGGTGGGACCTCAGTCCAGACTGGCAGCCATGACAAAAAGCAGCAGAGGCAGCAGCAGTGGCCACAGCCACAACAGACAAGGGAGGTCCCACATGCAGGCAGCACTGGGCCCAGTGTGCAGAGGATGGCTTCACTATCAATCCTCAAAGTCCATCCCCGAGAATGGGCATTAACATTAAACCTCCCACATACTCAGGCAATATATGAGGTCAGTAAATTCTTATAAAATAAAAAGGTATGAATGGACATTTCAATAGAGTTTATCACTAAGTGACTAGACTTCAGAGTTTAGAATATGTGGTTTTGAAAACTGCTGTAATACTGGAAAGTGAATATCCACAGCATTAAAAATAGGAATTAAACTTAAAGATCATCACATTGCACTGAAAATAACATGATTTCCATATGAAACTTTAAGTAAGCCAATTATTAGTGAGGGACACACTTTTAAACTTAATTTTTTGCTTGTAATTGAAGGTACAGAGATAAAATGACTTAACAGGTATTTTGAATTATATACACATCATGAATTCACTTTTATTACTTTAAATTCATATTTTTTCATTACCATTTATATACAATATCATATTAGTTTCAGGTGCACACCACAATGATCAGACATTATATAACTTACTAAGTGATTATCCCAATAAATCTCATACCCATCTGACACCATACATAGCTATTAGGATATTATTGACTATATTCCCTAGGTTATACTTTATATCCCCATGACTATTCTGTTACTATCAATATGTATTTCTTAATCCCTTCACCTTTTTAACCCATCCCTCCAAACTCCTCTCCAATCTGGCAACCATCAAGATGTCTCTGCATCTATGAGCCTGATTTTATTCTGCTTGTTCATTTATTTTCTTTTTTTACTAGAAAATTCAATTATTGATAGATATGCATTTATTGCCATTTTATTATTCATATTTTTATTTTTGATTTTTTTTCTTCTTAAAGAAAATCCTTTAACACTTGTAATACTGGTTTGGTGGTGATGAACTCATTTAGCTTTTTCTTGTTTGGGAAGCTCTTTATATGTCCTCTTATTCTAAATGAAAACATTGCTGGGTGGAATAATCTTGATTGTAGGCCCTTGCTTCTCATCACTTTGAATATCTTTCGCCATTCTCTTCTAGCCTGCAAAGTTTTTGTTGAGAAATTGGCTGACAGTCATATGGGAGCTCGCTGGTAGGTAACTAACTGCTTTTCCCTTGCTGCTTTTAAGATTTTTCTCTTTGCCTTTCACCTTTGGCATTTTAATCACAATGTGTCTTGGTGTGGGCCTCTTTGGGTTCATCTTGTTTGGAACTCTCTGTGCTTTCTGGATTTGTATCTGTATTTCCTTCACCAGCTTAGTGAAGTTTTCTGTCATTATTTTTTCACACAGGTTTTCAATTATTTGCACTCTCTCTTTTGCTTCTGGCACTCCCATGGAGTGAATGTTGGTGTGCTTGAATTTATCCCAGAGGCTCCTTAATTTTTAATATTCTTTTTTTTTTCTTTTGCTGTTCTAATTGGGTATTTTCTGCTTCTTTATTTTCCAAATCTCTGATTTGATCCTCTGTTTTATCTTCTATTCTGTGGATTCCCTGTAATGAATTCTTCATTTCAGCTAGTGTAATCTTAATTTATAACTGGTTCTTTTTTATGTTTTCTAGTTCTGTTTTTATGTTTCCTGTTTCTTTGTTGATGTTCTCACTAAGTTCATCTACTCTTTCTTCCCCTAAGTTCATTGACTATCCTTATAATCAGTGTTTTGAACTCTGCATCTAGTATATTGCTTGTCTCCATTTTGTTTAGTTCTTTTTCTGGAGTTTTGTTCTGTTCTTTCATTTGGGACACGTTTTTGTTTGTTTGTTTGTTTGGTTGGTTGATTGTTGTTTGTCTGTTTTTGTCTCCTCATTTTGGCAGCCTTCCTATGTTTGTTTCTATGTACTAGGAAGAGTTGCTAGGTCTCCCAGGCTTGCTAGAGTAGCCTAAAGTAACAGGTGTTCTGTGGAATCCAGTGGTTCAGCCTCACCATTCACCCAAGCTGGCCACTCCAGGTGCACCCTTTTCCCATCCATTTGAGCTATGTACACCCTCTTGTAGCTGAGCCTTGATTACTGTTGGCAATGAATGGGATGAATTTACCCCCAGGTAAATTGACTACAAGGACTGGCTGTGACCACAAACCACTGTGGAGGGTAAACTATATAGGGTCTCATCCCATGAAGCAGAATTTACTTCTGGTGCCAACTGAGCTTTCCCCTTGGGTGTATCACGTGTGTAGGTGGTTGGGTTGTTCTTCAAAATGGTCTGTAGCTGTCCACCGGGTGCTCTGACTTTGGGACCTCCTAGGAGGTGAAGACCAAGGTCAGCTGCCATCCCTGTTAGCCTGGGGCTACATGGAATGAGCTACAAAGCAGTCTGTAGATGGCTGCTACTTGTGCTGAGCTTGGGGGTGCCCATAGAGGACAAGCTGTTCACTAAGGCTGGCTACCACTAGTGCCAGGCCTAGGGGCACTTAGTGAGGGCTATGGTGCATGCAGAGTCCAGATGATGCTTTTTTTGAGAGTCTGAAGCATGAGCCAAGAGAGGCCATTCATATGGAAAATCCACTGCAAACAGCTTGGGTGGGCCTGCAACCTGAATGGGCTGAGTCTCAGGGAATCACCAGGGCGGAGCTAACAGTGATAGCCAGGTTGATGGAGGCTCAGATATGGGGCCCACTTTCAGGCTCTGTGAGGATAGGGCTCAGAAAAGGAACAATGGCCCCTGCCAGTACTTCTGTCTGGGAGAAACACCCCTGCCCCTCTCCCCCCGACAGCTGTCCCCTGGATGCCAGACAACTCAGTTCCTCCCTGGAAGTTCCTGGTACTTTTTGGGCTTCTGCCCTAGCACTGGAACTCAGAACAAGTGAATCCCAGCAAGTTCATGTGCAGGTCCTTTAAGAGGAATGCTGGGGACTCCAGCAGCTTTCCATCTCACTCAGCTACAATTCCCAGTGGTTTTTACAGCCAGAAGTTATGGGAACTTTCCTTCCCAGCATTGGAACCTTGCACTGAGAGGCTTTATGTGGAGCTGGGACCCCTGATTCCTCAGGGTGGACCTCAGCCACTGAGATATCCCTCCTGATTTTTATCTGCCACACATGGGTATGGGGCTAGACCAGTCCTGTTGGGTGTTTCCTTCCCATGTCCCGTGTGGGTCAGGGTTCAGGACCTGGAAGCAGAGCCGCACACAAATGAAAATGAAAAGACAAGAGATAACTTGAAATATTGGGGGACCAGACGGTCGAATCCAACTCAAGGGGAAGGACTTCCACCCATGCTTAGGCCTCACCAAGCTTTTATTGATCTGGGATGCACTCATAGCATAGCCCTTAGGCAGGAAACCCCCCATTAACAGGCAGACTAGCCCATCAGCAAGGATTTACATAATAATAAATGGGGGAGTAGTTTCAGCTACCACTGTCTGGACAAACAGAGGTGGCGACTAGCTCCAACCTTTGCCAGGGCTTCAAAGGCACCCAGCCTTCGGGGGGAATTTGGGGGGATTCTCTGTCTATGCTTATCAGATAGTGAAGGCAATAAACAGTTTCCCACAAGTCCAGTTTAGGTCTCTGCCCCTCCTACCAATCTCAATGTGGCTTCTTCTTTTTATACTTAGTTGTAGGACTTTTGTTCAGCTAGAGTTCAGGTTGTCCTGAATGATGGCTGTTCTGTAGTTTAGTTGTAAATTTGATGTTGTTGTGGGAGGAGGTGAGTACCTTGTTTACCTACGCCACCATTGGACTAGAATTCATGAATCCACTTTTGATTTCTTAAAAAGTGTTCCACAAGTTACAGGAAATGTGAGAGGAAGTATTAAAATATCATTTTAAATTTAAATTCAGAGTTGTATGAAACTGATTTGAATTGAGTTAAATCTTTTTAGAAAAACTGCTCCATGAGAATCATGAGCTCTAGAGATATAATTATATTTCTAAATAATGCATTAGAACTATGTATACATGAAATTTGTGACTTTTTCTTAATAAAAGATTTTTCTCTTACCTCTATTAATTTAATCAATCATTTATTTATATAAATGCCCATTCCTGTCTATTTATTTTATATGTTTATTTACATTTTAATACTTCTTTAATTATTTTGTTGCTAAAATTATTTCAGTTTGGGCCTTGAAGAACTCTTTCAAATTGGCTCCTGTGTTGCTCAGAGATGCTCCATCCTTTTTCTTCCTTTAGCTTTTCCTTACTTTATGGCACTACATGCATGATATGCCTCGGTGTTAGAATCAAACATTTCTTTAAGGAACTAGGGTTTTCTTCATTGGAAATAGTAACTACTGCCCTTTGAACACTGACAATTTGTTTTCTTAAAGGTGTTTTAAACTAAACAACTCCAAAACCAATTTTGTTCCCAATCCCTATCCCTAAAACACTGCTAATAGAGTTGCGCTTCACTCTGTTCTATCTAAAGTAGTCTCTCCTGCTGCCCAGATCAAAAACCTGGGCTTCATCATGGAGCTCATGCTCCTTTGGTAACATATAAAGCAAATTTTCTTCATTATTTTTCATTGCAATGTCCTTTTAGCTTGTCTCTCTACCTCATGACTTGCCTTATTTGAATCTACTTCTACATCACAGCAAAATTATGGTAAACTCTAATAAAATTATTCAGATGAGACCCAGAATAATTGGTTCTACTTATTTACCATTCTCAGCTGGCATTAATCCCTACCTACCACCCAACCATCCAACAACATTGTGTTGCTTTAAGTTCCCTAGGTACATCATACTATCTCAATGCAAGTTTTCACCTGTGTTGTTCCCTCTGATAGAAACACTCTCTCTTAACCCTCTCAGTTAAATAGCATTTACCTTCCATTATATCAAAAACTATACTTTTTTATATTACCATCTCCATATATTGCCATAGCTATCTCAAAAGAAAAATAGCAATGTATATAAAAGTCTATTTTTATCTTTCATTAATAAAACAATTTGTAAGTAAAAAAAAAATAATATACATGTTAGAAAGCCAGAGTAAATAGAGTTTTTAAATAAGTAATTCTTTATGTTTTTATGATCCTTTAACTATTATGTGCATAATCCTATATAATAAAAGCCCAGAGACTGAAACGACCAGAATGACCAGAGACCAGAACAACCACAGCCCCTCATCCTGCCTGGCCCTGCCAAATGGGGGCATGGTTGGACTGCAAACCACCCTGGGCTCCTCACCCCAGCCAGCCCTTCCGCCCAGCGGGGACCCTCACCCCAATTTGGGGCCCCCATCAGGGCAGGCCAGCTGGCTCCCACCTGTGAACCAGGCCTCTATCCTATATAATAAAAGGGTAGTATGCATGTTGACCCTAACAGCAAAATGATCAGAACAATCACTTGACCAGTCATGAAGAGATGCGCTGACTACCTCTTGGTCCCTTTCTCCAGTCAGCAGGCTCTGATCGCCCAATGGCTAACAGAAAACCACAGGTAGGTGGTGGGAGAACATGGGTGGTGCCAGGCCAAGGCCCCCACCCCGCTGGTTGCCACACACACACAGAGGGCCACACCTGGCAAGTGGGCGGGAACAGCCTACCTCTTGGTCCCTTCTCCTGGCTGTCAGGCTCCAATTGCCAATGTTGAATGGGGAACTACGGGTGGGTGGTAGTCGGGGCAGGGCCAGCTGCAGGAAACCAAGGAAGATGGCCCTGGTCACAGGCCCACCCTAGGGACTGTGCCTGTGCATTTATTTCATGCTCCAGGCCTCTAGTATTATTTTAAAAGCTAAAATAGAATACATGTTATTTGTCATTTCCTATAAAAAGTATTATATTCTCTCAGAGAATTACATACATTAGAATATATTATTTTGTTAGACATAATAGTGATGATCATCTCTGGAAAATGACAGGCAAGTCTTTGAATAACATTCCAAGTGGCATATCGTATATCATTATCTACACAGTTAAAAATCAGCTGGGCATCCTTCATGAGCATGCATAATCTTGGGTTTTAAAAATTAGAAAAAGATTCCTATATTCTCTTTAGAAATTTGTTGGAGTACATTGATAGGGCAGGCACAAGGTTATTATTGTGCTGAACTTTCATCTTAGTTGGAGTTTAAGGTAAATAAACAAAAAACTGACATCCTATATAATAAAAGACCAGAGGCATCATGACCAAAACGACCAAAGACCAGACCATCACGGCCCCTCATGGGCTGGCCCCGCCCCCAAGCAAGCAGTTAGGGGCAATGAGGTAGGCAGGCAGAGTGGTTAGGGGTGATCAGGTAGGCAGACCAGCAGTTAGGGGTGATCAAGTAGGCAGAACAATGGTTAGGGATGATCAGGTAGGCAGGCAAGTGGCTAGGGGTGATCAGGTAGGCAGACCAGCAGTTAAGGGTAATCAGGTAGGCTGGCAAGTGGTTAGGGATGATCAGGTAGGCAGGCCAGTGGTTAGAGGAGATCAGGTAGGCAGGTAAATGTTTAGGAGTGATCAGGCAGGCTGGGGAGCAGTTAGGGGCCATTTGGTAGGCAGATGGCCCCTCACAGGGCTGGTCCCACCCCACAGCAAAGCAAGAGGGAGGCCCAGGCCAACCAAACCACCTCACCCAGCCTGTCATCTGCAGAGGGAGGCCACTGGGGGAAGTGGAAGGGGGGCAGTGCTGCACAGATGGCCATCAGTGGCAGTGGCTGGGGTGGGGCCAGCTGCCAGAAGCAGGAGGAAGGAAAGCCCCAATAGGCCCTGACCTCAGGCCAGGCCTAGGGACCCTATCTGAGGGGTCCCAGATTGTGAGAGGGTGCAGGCTTGGCTGAGGGACCCCCCTGAGTGCACGAATTTTCATGCACCAGGCCTCTAGTCTATATATATAAAAGCCTAAGCGACCAAATGACCAATCGGTAGACTGGCCATTATGACGTTCACTGACCACCGGGGGCAGAAGCTCAATGCAGGAGCTGCCCTCTGGTGGTCAGTGTGCTCTCACAGCGAGAGTGCCAGAGCTGACTGACCTGTCCTGGTGGCTCACCAGCCTGGTGGCAGCCACTCACTCCCTCAGTAGTTCTACTGCTACAATCTCTGGAGAACGGCCCAGGCACCAATGTACTGGCACCGCTGACACAATCCCGACAGCACCACTGGCCTCCTGGAAGTCGGCCTCGGGCACCACAGCCACTTCCCCTCCCTAGATGCTTCATAAGGAAGAAATGATATAAAAGCGGCCGCCAGGTGGCTCACAACAACAGGCATGAACATTAGCAGAATGGATCGGAATCCTGGGCCAACAAAGGCATCCCACTGCCTGCTCAGAGAGCTGATTGTGTCCTGGTCTCCCCCCCCCCCCACCTCCTCGAGATGGGCTGTGGTGGTGTGAGCCTCTCCTGATCAAGACTGACTGGGTGCGAGCCCACGGCAGGCTCAGTGGGCCGGGATGAGTGGGAGCAACAGGCAGGAGTGGCAGGAAGCATTGGGTGATGTTTACTTTGAATTTATATTAGTTCACACAAACACTCCATCCATGCTTTTGTTCCGGCCCTCCGGTCCAGTTTAACTACCCATTGTGGCCCTTGAGTCAAAAAGTTTGCCCACCCCTGATGTAGACTATAGTATAGTTTGGTGTTAAGCAAAGACCTGAATGACAAAAATAATTTCTGTAACTTCTGTAACATCTAAGATTATTTCCATTATCATCATCTTTAAGTCTTAGTAAGAAGATACTGTTTTATAAATATGCTCAAGGCATAATGTTCCCATGAAAGGTAACATTAAGAAGAGAGAGTAGTGATAATATGGCCAACCAGCAAAAAACAAATTCCTGCCTGTACAAACTTGGTGGGAGGAGCATGATATTTCTGTATATGTGAAGTGAATGTTTACATGTATTCATGAGAAAGATAGAGAGGAAGATAGAGAGAGAGATGGAGGGGATGTGTGTGGTACATATAAATATGCTATTATCAAAATGAAAGGTTACTAGGAATAGACTGAAGGGTTGGCTAACCCACCAGGCTTAAAATAGTTTATGTCAATAAATAACTGATGAATATAGTAATTTATCATAAAAATTAGAGGCCTGGTGCATGAATTCATGCACCCAGTGGGGTCTCTCAGCCTGGCCTGTGGGATTGGGCCCAAACCAGCTCTTTGACATCCCCCGAGGGGTCCTGGATTGTGAGAGGGCACAGGTCAGGCCGAGGGACCACATTGCACAATCAGGGCCAGGGAGGGAAGCGGGAGGTTGGCCAACCTGGCAGGGACCACAGGAGGGCTCCAGGGAGTGTCCATCCCATCTCTCTCAGTCCCAGTTGGCCAGACCCCAAGTGCAAGCTAACCTACTGGTCAGAGCGTCTGCCCCCTGGTTGTCAGTGCATGGCATAGTGACTGGCCCACCAGTCGACTGTCTGTCCCCTGGTGGTCAGTGCACATCATAGCGAGCAGTTGAACGGCTTTAGTATATAATTAGCATATTATGCTTTGATTGGTTAAACTGCCAACCGGATGAGCGGACACTTAGCATATTAGACTTTTATTATATAGGACTAGAGGCCCAGTGCACAAAATTTGTGAGGGAGTACAGTCCCTAGGTCTGGCCTGTGATCAGAGCCATCTTCCCCAGCTGCCTGCAGCCAGCCCTGCCCCCTGCTGCCACCCAGCCCTGGTTCCCCATCAGGCAATCAGAGCCTGACAGCCTGGGGAAGGGACTGAGAGGTCAGCTATTCCCACCCACTCACCAGCCCCGCCCCCACCAGAGGTTGCCCTCTGTGTGTGGGGTGATGGGCAGGATGGGGGCCTTGGCTTGGCACCACCCATGTCCCCCACGACCCACCCCCAGTTCCTTGTTCACCATTGGGTGATATGAGCCTGCCGACTGGGGAAAGGGACCAAGAGGTGGTCAGTGCGCCTCAAAGTGACTGGTCGAGTGGTTGTTCTGTTCGTTCCGCCACTAGCATCAATTGGCATATTACCCTTTTATTATATAGGATAGAGGCCCGGTGCACAGGTGGGGGCCTACTGGCCTGCACTGATGAGGGCCCCTGATCAGGGTGGGGGTCCTTGCTGGGGGGTGGAACCAGCAGGGATGAGAGACTGTGGGTGGTTTGCAGGCCAGCCATGCTCCCGATCAGGGTGGAGGTCTCTGCTGGGGGGGTGGGGGGGGGCAGCCAGGGTGAGGAGCAGTGGTTATTCTAGTCTCTGGTTGTTCTGGTTGTTCTGCCATTTCAGTTGCTGGGCTTTTATTATATAGGATGTCACTCGGGACAACTAATGGCCAGTATAAAAAAGTAATTGTCTGAAAGCATATACATCACACATCAACTCACTCTTTGGGAAATAGAAGAAGTATAAGCAGAGGTATCTCTTTCTCAAACAAATCACAGTTGAGGAGATAAGGAAAACCTATGTAAGCTGACAGAAAATAACACAATATGAAATGTAATTAAGTGCCGATGTGATGGCTCTAAAAGCTATAGGAAGTAGGTGGAAATATATTTCTAAGTTATTGCTCAAAAATGTTCAATGTTGCAATCTCTGAGTATCTAGAAGGGTGAGTCGACAGGTAAGATGTGAGAAGAAAGGGGAATATACACTGAGTGGCCAGATTATTATGACCACCTGACATTTGTAGGCAAATTAGCCATACACTGCTTCGTATAGGACATGGAAGCCAAAGGCCTGTCCAAACACCTTTGCTATCTGCAGTTACCAAGATAAAATGTTTCCAATTTGCACAGGAACA